GACTAGAAGACCTCCAAGGTCCCTTCCAGCAATATTCTATTCTGTTCTGTTCTTATTTCTATTTCTATTCTTCATTTCTGTTCTATTCTATTCTATTCATTTCTTTTTCTATTCTATTCTATTCTATTCTATTCTATTCTATTCTATTCATTTCTTTTTCTATTCTATTCTATTCATTTCTTTTTCTATTCTATTCTATTCATTTCTATTCTATTCTATTCATTTCTTTTTCTATTCTATTCTATTCTATTCTATTCTTCCATTTTCTATTCTATTCTATTCTATTCCATTCCATTCTATTCCATTCTATTGTATTCCTCAATATTCTATTCTATTCCATTCCATTCTATTCATTTCTTTCTATTCTATTCTATTCTATTCTAATTCTATTCTTATTACTTATTCTATTCTTTTCTATTCTAATTCTATTCTATTCTTTTTTCTAATTCTATTCTTTTTTATTTCTTCTATTTTTATTTCTATTTCTATTCTATTTTATTCTTATTTCTTATTCTTTTCTTTTCTATTCTATTATATTCTATTCTTATTTCTATTTCTATTCTATTCTATTCTTATTTCTTCTATTCTATTCTATTCTTATTTCTATTTCTATTCTATTCTAAATATTTTTGGGGCCTAGCTAACGGCAGCCGTGAGCCAAGCCCGACTTACTTGAAAAAGCTAAGCAGTTGCTGGAACTGGTCAGGAGTTGGACAGAGGCCACCAGAAACCCCCCCCCCCCCAGCTACAAAGCAGCCTCAGAAACCTCCCAGGAGAAGCAAAGGGTCCACCAACTGTGTAGGGCAATTGCCCAAAATCCCTCCATCCGCGTGACTCTGAGGTCCCCTAAAGTGGGCCATCTTCTCCCACACAAGGTGTTCTCCGGATATGTTGGGATGGCCAAGGATGACGTTCCCCCCTTGGCTGGATGGAAGCTTGCTGGCCGGTGAGTTGCGTTGTTGAAGCAGATCTCCTGCTGAGCCAGCTGTGAAAACACAACAATGCAGCTGCAGGAAGCAATTTTTCCCCTTTCTCTCGTCTGTCTGTCTGTCTATCTATAAGTATCTCTCTCTCTCTAATCTATCTATCTATCTATCTATCTATCTATCTATCTATCTATCTATCTATCTATCTATCTAATTATCTGTCTGTCTATCTAATTATCTATCTGTCTGTCTATCTATGTCTCTATCTGTCTGTCTGTCTCTTTATCTATCTATCTATATCTATCTATCTATCTATCTCTTTATCTATCTATCTAATTATCTGTCTATGTCTCTATCTATCTGTCTCTTTATCTATCTATCTATCTATCTATCTGATCATCTATCTGTCTGTCTGTCTATGTCTCTGTCTGTCTGTCTGTCTCTTTATCTATCTATCTGTCTGTCTGTCTTTCTGTCTATGCCTATCTATCTATCTATCTATCTATCTATCTATCTATCTATCTATCTATCTATCTATCTATCTATCTTTCCGTCTGTCTATCTATGTCTATCTGTCTGTCTGTCTCTTTATCTATCTATCTATCTATCTATCTATCTATCTATCTATCTATCTATCTCTCTTTATCTATCTGTCTGTCTGTCTCTCTCTCTCTCTCTCTCTCTCTTTCTCTTCTCTCTCTATTTCTCTGATACACACAGATAGTCCTCGACTTGCGACAGTTCTCTTTGGATGAACACAGTCCTTCCATCTGTGCTCTTCTGTCGTTCTGCACCTTCCTCTCCCCTCCCTCCTCTCTCCCCCTCCCCCTCCCTCTGCAACCCTTGGAGGGAATTGCCTGGGCCGGCCTCTGCTGCCTTCTTCCTTGGGCCTCCATCTCCCACTCCAGGGCTGCGTCCCTGATCCCCCCTCCCTCCCTCCCTGCCTGCCCCTCCCATGTGACCAGCCCAGGACTCTGAAGGAGAGACCCCCGTGGCGGGTCCCAGCCTCCCCCTTTGTTTGACCCAGCAGCAGCTCTGCAGGAAGAGCTCTGGGCACCCCCCCTCCTCCTCCAAGGGATTTCCCAACCAGCTCAGGAAACAAAGTCTCCCTTGTTTTCCACGCCAGGGTTGCTTAAAGTTGCCCACTTCCAGAGGGCTGGACTTCAACTCCCAGCATTCCCCAGCCAGCCATGAGCTCGGCCCTTTCCTTTTTGCAGATGTTTCGGTAAAACTGGGTGACCTCATCAGTGCTGTTCAGCATCGTCAATGATGTTACCCAGTTGGGCCATGAGACGTCTGGCAAGGAAACCACCCAGCTCAGAGAGCACCAAGGACCCCACAGTCCTCCTCCTCCTCTTTTTCTTTTTCTTCCTTCTCCTCCTCCTCCTCCTCTCCACAAACCCCATTCCCTTCTAGCACTGATGACGTTACCTAGTTGGGTCATGAAACGTCTGCAAGGAAACCATCAAGCTCAGAGAGCACCAAGGACCCCACAGTCCTCCTCCTCCTCCTCCTCCTCCTCCTCCTCCTCCTCCTCTCCACAAACCCCATTCCTTTGTAGCACTGATGATGTTACCTAGTTGGGTCATGAAACATCTGCAAAAAAACCACCCAGCTCAGAGAGCACCAAGGACCCCACAGTCCTCCTCCTCCCTGCAAACCCCTCTCCCTTCTAGCACTGATGATGTTACCTAGCTGGGTCATGAAATGTCTCCAAACCATTAACAACCAAACTCAGAGAGCACCAAGGACCCCACAGTCCTCCTCCTCCTCTTCCTCCTCCTCCTCCTGGCAAACCCCTCTCCCTTCTAGCACTGATGATGTTACCCAGTTGGGTGATGTAACGTCTGCAAGGAAACCAGCCAGCTCAGTGAGTGCGAAGGATCCCAAAATCGTTGTTGTCATCTTCCTCCTCCTCCTCCTCCTCCCCCCCACTCCCTTCTAGCACTGAGCTCAGAGTGCACCAAGACCCTCACAGTCCTTCTCCTCCTCCTCCTCCTCTCCACAAACCCCACTCCCTTCTAGCACTGATGATGTTACCTAGTTGGGTAATGAAATGTCTGCAAAAAGATCACCCAGCTCAGAAAGCACCAAGGAACCCATAGTTCTTTTCCTCCTCCTCCGACTGATGAAGTTACCTAGTTGGGTAATGAGATGTCTGCCACCCAGCTCAGAAAGCACCAAGGACCCCACAGTCTTCCTCCTTCTCCTCTCCTTCCCCTCCTCTTCCTCCACTCCACAACCCCTCCTCCCTTCTAACACTCCCTTCCTCTTTGCAAACCCCCCTCCCTTCCAGCACTGATGATGTTACCCAGTTGGGCCACGAAAGGTCTGCAAGGAAACCGCCCAGCTAAGAGAGCCCCAAGGACCCCTGAAGTCAAGATAATATTGACTGCCTCCCACCAATGAGAATCTATGGGCTATTGACGGACACAGTTTTCCAGATGCAACTAGGATGTTCTTTTCTACTTCCCTTTTAAATGGTACATTGCAATTGTTGCAGAAAAACTACCCTGGACTGTCGTTGGTTTCAGCTGGATTTAGCTTGTCTCACAGACAGCCTTTCTCGGCTCCCAGTGGATCAAGCTTGACATAATACTCTATCTCCGTGGTGGCGAACCTATGGCACGCGTGTCACAGGTGGCACGCAGAGCCCTCTCCGTGGGCACGCGCGCCGTCGCCCCAGTCCTGGGCCTTCAGCTGGGTTTTATAAAACCTTTTCGCTTTAGGCTTCCACCGCCGTGTCCCCCCCCCAAAAAAGGTTCATTCAATCCATCAATTTCAACTTCTCATGGGAAAAAAAAAGATCTCGCAAAGTTGGGATTGATGGATTGAACTTTTTAGTCCCGCCCAGTCTGCCGTGACCACCGCAGCCACGCCCACCCAATGGGCCACACCCACCCCATGGGCCACGCCCACCCGGCACCCGACGATACGGAAGTGGGATTTGGGTTGCAGTTTGGGCACTCGGTCTCTCAAAGGTTCGCCATCACTGCTATATATAGAAGAAACAGCTGTCTGTGTTACAGAATTTACAGAATGACAAAGTTGGAAGGGACCTTGGAGGTCATCTGGCCCCACCCCCTGCTGGAGTGTTGAGGGGGAATCATAGACTCCTAGGCCCGGAAGGGACTTTGGGGGTCATCTAGTCCAGGGCTTTTCCACCTTTTCACCCATCGTGCCACTTTTAGGATAGGGCAACATCCGAGGACCACCAGTCGCCTAGCAAGGCGTCAAAAACTTGATGACCAAAACAAAAAAGGAAAAAAGTGATGAAGTACAGGTAGTCCTCGACTTACAACGGTTCGCTTAGTGACTGTTGGAAGTTACAATGGGACTGAAAAAAGGGCCCCCCAAGCCACAGCCGGGCAAGACACCTGCTTGCCCGCCCGGCCGCGTTCTTCCTCCTGTCCGAGGTTTTCATTGTTGTGAGCATTTCTGTTGAGGTTTGGCAGAGGTGTGTGTGTGTGTGCGAGTGTGTGGTTTTTATTCCCCCTGTCTGCTGGGTGGTTGCAGCAGGGTTTGGTCCCTTCACATGACCCTGGGACACTGTGACCGTCATAAATATAAATCGGTGGCCAAGCATCTGAATGTAAATCACAAGACCCTGGAGAGGGTGCATCATTCCAGCTGATCGGCGCTTCTTCTGGGCTCAGCAGAAGCACCTGGATCAGCGCTGAGCTCCAAGTGGATCCTGGCGCTGATCCTGATGCTTCCACTAGTCCTGACAGTCCTGAAGAAGCGCCGATCAGCTGGAAAGAGGCACTGATCCTGGGGCTTCCGCTGAGCCCTGACAGCCCTGCAGCTCCAGCCGTCTCTTGCTCAGGCTTGTGCGGTGCTGCCAGCGGTTCAGCTCATTCCCCTCCCCCGCTACCCCTTTTCTAGGATGGTCGCGTACCACCTGCCAGGTGCCAATGGACCACAGGTGGTACCGTACCACTGGTTGAAAAGCCCTGGACTAGTCCAGCCCCCAGCCCCTGGAGCCTTCATACCATCCCAGACCTATTAAAAATGCTCTTTTGCGACCGGAGACGGGAATCCACTGCAAATTAAGAGAGGGACTTGTCGCAGGAGGCCATTAACAGTGGTATATTGATATATTGTAGGGCTTTTTCCTAAGAAATTGCGGCAAATCGTTAATTTACATGTGCTTACATTGAAAAAAAACAAACAAACAAACAGTGCAGCCAGGTGCTTCGTACAACAGGACATCATCACAGAACATACAATGAAGACTGTGAAGGAAGGAAGGAAGGAAGGAAGGAAGGAAGGAAGGAAGGAAGGAAGGAAGGAAGGAAGGAAGGAAGGAAGGATAAAATGGAAATGAAGGAGGGGAAGAGAGACCGAGGAAAACACAAGACAGGAGAGACAAAGATAAATACACAGCGGACAGATCCTGGCCAGACAGATTCGGATTCCCAGCTTGGAGGGTTTTTGTCCGAGCAGTCTTTATTTACAGATATTTGCGCCCCCCCCACCCCCCCACCCCTTTGCCGCTGGGAAATAAGGCTAGAAAAATAATGCAAGAGGCAAGGAAAATCCCAGGCAGGTTGCTTTCGATGGGACTCGCAAAAGCCACCCAGCTGCTGGGCCCACACCGTCTTTTTTTTTTCTCTCTCTCTCTTTTTCTTTCTTCCTTTTTGCAAAACAAAAAACGAAAAGAGGAAAGAGACGGATGGAAAAGGCGTGACCGAGAATGCGGCTTGCGGTGGGTATACAATCTCCCTCTCTCTCTTTTTGGTTTTTCAAAAAGAAGAGCTGGATGAAAAAAAAAAACCCACTTTTTTTTTTAAAAAAAAAGAAAAAAAAAAACACCTTAAAAACCGAGCCAGCGTATACTGGCAGTTTGGAAAAAAAAGGGCTAGGGATTGTTCGGAGGGGTGGGGATGAAAGAATGTGAAAAAAGGAAGGCGGGAAAGAAAAAGGAAGCTTTTTTTTTAATTATTATTATTATTATTGGCTTTTAAAAAAAAATAAACGCCTAACCCCGTTTGTAAACCTGGAGGGGAAAACCGGGTTTGTCCCGTCTCTTCCCGTTAAGGAGAGCTGGTCGTCGTCTTCGCTTCGTGACCGTTGGAAGTTACCACGGCACTGAAAAAAAGCGACTCGTGACCGTTTCTCGCACGTACGACCGTCACGTGATCCAAATTCAGACTCGTATTTGTGACGGTCACGGCGTCCCGGGATTCCCCTTTCGCGACCTTCCGACGAGCGAAGTCAGTGGGGAGGGGGGGGAAGCCAGATTCGCTTAACGCCCGGGTGACCGACTTAACGGCTGCGGTGATTCACGTAACGACTGTGCCAAGCCAGGTTGTAAAACGCGGCACAACTCACTGTAGCAACAGAAGCCACAGACATTTGGGGATCAATTGTGGGCGTATGTTGAGGACTACCAACGGCAACGAGAGGAAAGGCCTGCCGAGAAATTGGGGAGCAGCGAAAGGGGGCTGCAGACAAGCCAGCTTTTGGCCAGGATGGAGTGGGTGGGCTGGGACGAGGGAGAGAGGGAGGGAGGACCGAATCCAAACCAGCTTGTTAGCAAGGCAGCTCTGGGGGGGGGGGGGAGCAGGAATCCTGGTGGGTAGGTGGGTGGGAGGGAGGGAGGGGGGGCTGATGCTCGGAGCCTGGCTTGCATGGGGGTCTTTTCCTTCAGGTGGGGGGGGGACCCCAGAGCTTTTAAGAAAAGCAAACCTGCTGGGAAATGGAGACACCCCCCCTTGGCCATGAGCAAGTCTACCCTGGGGGTCTCCTCAGTCTCTCTTGTGATCCTGGAAGCGGAGGGGGATGAGATGGGCAAAGGACCCCATCATGGAGGGTCTCTCCTCCTTGCTGGTCGTCTCCTCTCGAAGCAGCCCCTTCCCCAGTCCAGAGTTGAGGGTCTCCAGGCCTCTGTTGACCGTCACCCTCCTTCAGCCCCGGAGAGGGAGATCCTATGGGATGCGCTCAACCAGCTTGGAGGTCGCCAGGGATGAGGAGGTTTTGGAACCCAGGTCTTGTGCACCGGGCCCAGGCGCCCCGTGGAGGGTCTCGCAAGTCCAAGTGCCGGTCGCTTTGCGTCGTCGTCCTCCCGTCTCCGATTCACATGGGCGGGACGAGGAGTCCCGACAGGCCTGGAAACAAGAGAAGGTCTGAATGAACCCCACGGAAGTTCAGTGGGCCACACCTAGGTTGTTCATAGCCTGTTTTAGGTGTGCGTCATGTATGTGTTTCACTTTGAGAGCGGGCAACTAAATTTCGTTTTTTGACGTGTGCCGTTGTGCCCGCAGTCAAACAAAATGACAATAAAGGTTATCTTATCTTATCTTATCTTATCTTATCTTATCCTATCCTATCCTATCTTATCCTATCCTATCTTATCCTATCCTATCTTATCTTATCTTCTCATCTCATCATCTCCTCTCCTCATCTCATCTTATCTTATCTCTTAATAAGGACACCGTTAACAGAATAACAGAATCGGAAGGGATCTTGGAGGTCTTCTAGTCCAGCCCCCCCCCTGCTCAGGCAGGAAACTCTACACCGTTCTAGACCAACGGCTGTCTGATCTCTTCTTAAAAACTTCCAGTGTTGGATCACCCATAACTTCTGGAGGCAGGTCGTTCCCCTGGTTAATTGTTCTGACTGTTAGGAAGTTTCTCCTTAGTTCTAGGTTGCTTCTCTCCTTGATTCGTTTCCATCCGTTGCTTCATGTCCGGCCTTCAGGGGCTTGGAGAATAGCTTGACTCCCTTTTCCTTAGCTGTGCTACTCCCTTTTATTCGATTGGCTTTTGAAAGCCAATAGAAGAGACTCTCTTGAATAGAGTCTAATTCTATTGGCTTTCCAAAGCCAATAGGAATTGTCCAGGCTGTCTCTGCCCTGCTGAGCCCGCCAAAAATCCCATTCTGCAAACGGTGCTGCACCAGTTGAGTAGTCCTTGACTTACGACCGGCTGAATAGTCCTCGACTTACGACCGGTTGAGTAGTCCTCGACTTACGACCGGTTGGGGGTCGCGGCATTAAAACGGTTGAGAACCACTGAACTAGACATACCCAATTCCACAGTAGACATACCATCATGACTCTGGAGATATGGTGAGCTTCATGAGCCCGGCCTGGGCACCGCCAAATTCGCACACAGGGCTTCGATCTGCCCAGGGTGCTTTTTCCAAAAGGCAATTGGACTTTCCTGTTTTTTTTTTCCTTTAAGACGTTTCGCTTCTAACCCAAGCAGCTTCTTCGGTTCTTCTCCAGTTAGAACTGAAGAAGCTGCTTGGATGAGAAGCAAAATATCTTTAAGGAATAACGAAGAAAGTTCCAGTTGCCTTTTGGGGGGAAAAAAGCACCTTTGATCTGAAGAATTGAGAATCTCCATAGACATCTGACCAGGTTCTGCAGGGTCTCTTAACCTCGATTGAACCCAAGTGTGAGCGGGTTGTTTTTGGCACCGTGTCCTCAAAGGGCCCCCCCCAACACACACACACACCAGGGCAGGCTGTTGCAGAGGGGTTGTTTGAGGGGAGAGGAGCAGAGGAGAGAGAGAGGGAATGGAGAAGGCAAAGCAGCAGAAGGAGAGAAGGAACATACTGTGATTAAGAATAAGCCAATCCTTGGAGTGACCGAGACGCTGTTTGAAACTTGTCTGCAGAATCCTCAAAGGGTTGGTCTAGTTGGTGGGATTGAGCAAGCAGCGAGGGGGAGGGGAGGGGAGGGAAGGGAAGGGAGGGAGGAAGGAAGGAAGAAAGGAAGGAAGGAAGGAAGGAAGGAAGGAAAGAAAGAAGGAAGGAAGGAAGGAAAGAAGGATGAGATAGATGAAATGGAGAGAGGGAGGAAGGAAGGAAGGAGAAAGAAAAAGGAAGGAAAGAAGGATGAGATAGATGAAATAGAGGGAGGGAGGAAGGAAGGAAGGAAGGAAGGAGAAAGAAAAAGAAAGGAAAGGATGAGAGATGAAATAGAAGGAGGGAAGGGAGGGAGGGAGGAAGGAAAGAAGGATGAGATAGATGAAATAGAGGGAGGAAGGAAGGAAGGAAGGAGAAAGAAAAAGGAAGGAAAGAAGGATGAGACAGATGAAATGGAAGGAGGGAGGGAAGAGAGGGAGGAAGGAAGGAAAGAAAGAAGGAAAAAGAAAAAGGATGGAAGGAAAGAAGGATGAGATAGATGAAATAGAGGGAGGGAGGGAGGGAGGGAGGGGAAAAAAGGAACGAAAGATGGATGAGACAGATGAAAGAGGGAGGGAGGAAGGAAGAAAGGAAGGAAGGAGAAAGAAAAAGGAAGGATAGAAGGATGAGACAGATGAAATAGAGGGAGGGAGGAAAGAGGGAGGAAGGAAAGAAGGAAAGAAAGAAGGAGAAAGAAAAAAGGAAGGAAGGAAAGGATGAGACAGATGAAATAGACGGAGGGAGGAAAGAGGAAGGAGAAAGAAAAAGGAAGGAAGGAAAGAAGGATGAGATAGATGAAATAGAGGGAAGGAGGAAAGAGAGGGAGGAAGGAAGGAAGGAAGGGAGAAAGAAAAAGGATGGAAGGAAAGAAGGGCGAGATAGATGAAAGAGGGAGGGAGAGAGGGAGGAAGGAAGGAGAAAGAAAAAGGAAGAAAAGAAGGATGAGACACATGAAATAGAGAGATGGAGGGAAGAGAGGGAGGAAAGAAGTAAGGAGAAAGAAAAAGGGAGAGAGGCAGAGAAGAAGGGGAAAGAGAGAAAGGGAGGGAGGGAGGAGAGAAAAAGGAAGGAAAGATGATACAGATGAGACAGGAAGGGAGGAAGGGAGGGAGGGGAATGAGAAAAAGGAAAGGAGAGAGGAAGGAAGGATGAAATGGAGGGAGGAAGGGAGGAAGAAGGGGACAGAGAGAAAGGAAGGAAGGAATGAAGGAAGGAGAAAAAAGGGAGGAAGGAAGGATGAGATAGATGAAACAGAGAGAGGGATGAAGGCAGGGAGCAAGGGAGAGAGGTAGGAAGGGAGGAAGGGAGGAAGGAAGGAAGGAAAAAGCAAGAAAAGAGGAAGGCCAAGAAATAAAAATAAAAAGAAGAGTTAGAGAAGCAATAAAAAACTGCAGTAAAGATCCACGTGAGACTCTAGGAAGACAAGAGAAATAAGGGGCTTGATTCCAATTAATAAAACACCTTATCCTGGATTTAAATATAGGGAACCATTAAAGAGCCCCCCCCCCAGAAGCTTTTGATCACTGAATAATGCAAATTTCCCATTCCTACCAGCACTAAGAGAAGTTCAGGGGGGGGGGTGCACCGTTCTAGGGTGTTCAGACGAAAGGGGACTAGGGAGAGAGAAAGGAAAGAGCACCACAAGGAAATTCCTGAGAAGAAGCTGCTCCATCTGGTAGCTCTTCAGCTTCGTGGACTTTGTTGGGTCGGACTTCGTTGGGTCGGAAACAAAACTGGTGGTGGACTTTGTTGGGTCGGAAACAAAACTGCCCATGGAGGGTTTGGAGGAATTCCAATCTCTGTTACCAATCAGCCCAGACAATAGACCGGTCCTCATTGAGGCCCAGTTGGCTGAAAGCGCTTTGTTTGAAAAACAAGAGCAGGAGATGCTGGGTGAAAGAACATTTTAAACTCCCCTCAGCCTGACCCACTCTTTGGGGTGAAAAGGGGGCCCAATCAACCCTGTTTTGCTCCCCAAAAGTGGATTTATTTCTGTCCATCCGGGTCCCGCAACCACTTTGGAGGCGATAGGCCAATTTCACTTTCTTTCAAGGAAAGGTTCTCTGCTTAGATTTTTAACATTTCTTCAGCTGTTTTTAAATCCCCTAAAACCACTTTTCTGGTTCACCACGTGAGAAGTGACCGTCCTGGCAGCGTTTTTCAACCTCGGTCACCTTCAATGCCCAGAATTTCCCAGCCGGCGGCGTCACGCTGCCGAGATCGAAACACGCTGTCCGAGGCTCTACAGGTAGTCCTCGACTTACGACCACAACGCAGCCTGACGTTTTTGTCGTTAAGTGAGACACCCCTTAAGCGAGTTTTGCCCCATAGTTTTGCCCCCGCCGTTCAGGGAATCGCTGCGTTTGTTAAGTGAGCAAGACGGTCGCGAAGTGGATCCGTCTTCCCCGTTGATATGGCTTGTCAGGTCACCGAAAGGGATCACATGACCTCCCTGGGCACACAGCGACTGTCGTAAATATGAGTCGGTGGCCAGGTGTCCGAATTTTGACCACGGGAGCCTGGGGAATGCTGCGACGGTCGTAAAGTGTGGAAAAAAAACAACGATCATCATTCGCTTTCCTTTCAGGGCTGTTGTAACTGTGAACAGCGGCGCTAAATGAAACCGCCGTTAAGTCGAGGACTACCTGTACCGGGGGGAAGAGGACGAGCTTGCGAGGGTCGCCAGGATGGCTAACTCTGGTTGAAGACAAGCCAGCTTACCTTGCAGGCCGGCCCCGTTGGTGCTGGCGCAAGGGGGGGGCGGGGAGGCCTGGGGCCGCACAACGGGCGCAAAGGCGCTCTTCTGCTTGACGGCCGAGATCATGTTGATCGGAGAGAAGGAGAAGACGCCGGCAGGGGTGGAGGAGGCCCCCAGGGGTGGGCTGGATGGCATGACTGCAGGGAGGGGGGGGGAAGAGAAGGACAGGGGTCAGTGGGGCAGAGAAGGGGGGGGTCTCCGGTCCTGGGAGGGGAGGAGGCGGCTGGCCTCCCCCTCCTCTTTTCTGCATCGGTGCCTTCTAGCATGGATGATGTTACCTCGTTGGGTCATGAAATGTCTTCAAGAAAACAAGCAAGTTCAGAAAACAACAAGGGCCCCACAGTCCTTCCTCCTCCTCCTCCTCCTCCTCCTCCTCCTCCTCCTCCTCCTCCTCCTCCTCCTCCTCTTCTCCATAAACTGCCCTGCCTTCTAGCACTGATGATGTCACCTAGTTGGGTAATGAAATGCCTGCAAGAAAACCACCAAGCTCAGAGAGCACCAGGGGCCCCACAGTTGTCGTTGTCCTCCTCCTCCTCCTCCTCCTCCTCCTCCTCCTCCTCCTCCTCCTCCTCCTCCCTCCCCCCCTCCTCCCCTCTCCTTCTCCCCCCCTCCCCTCTCCTCCTCCTCCTCCTCTTCTCTGCATCAGTGCCTTCAAGCATGGATGATGTTACCTCATTGGGTCATGAAACGTCTTCAAGAAAACAAGCAACTTCAGAAAACAACAAGGGCCCCACAGTCCTTCCTCCCTCCTCCTCCTCCTCCTCTCCATAAACTGCCCTGCCTTCTAGCACTGATGATGTCACCTAGTTGGGTCATGAAACGTCTGCAAGGAAACCACCCAGCTCAGAGAATACCAAGGACCCCACAGTCGTCGTTGTCTTCCTCCTCCTCCTCCCCCCTCCTCCTCCCCCCTCCCCCCTCCTCCTCCTCTTCCTCCTCCTCCTCATAAACTGCCCTGCCTTCTAGCACTGATGGTGTTAGCTAATTGGGCAATGAAACGTCTTCAAGAAAACCACCAAGCTCAGAGAGCACTAAGGACTTCACAGTCCTCCTATTCTTCCTTTCCTCCTCCTCCCCCTCCCCCTCCCCCTTCCTCCTCCTCTTCATCCTCCTCCTCTCTGCAAACCCTCTTCCCTTCTAGCACTGATGATGTCACCTAGTTGGGTAATGAAACGCCTGCAAGAAACCCACCAAGCTCAGAGAGCACCATGGGCCCCACAGTCGTCGTTGTCCTCCTCCCCCTCCCCCTCCTCCCCCTCCCTCTCCTCCTCCTCCTCCTCCATCCCTCCCCCCCTCCTCCTCCTCCTCCACCCCTCCCCCCTCCTTCTCCTCCTCCTCCTCCTCCTCTTCTCTGCATCAGTGCCTTCTAGCATGGATGATGTTACCAGTTGGGTAACGAAAATGCCTGCAAGAAAACCATCCAATCAAAGAGCCCCAAGGACCCCACAGTCCTTCCCTTTCCTCCTTCTCCTCCCCCTCCCCCTTCTAGCACTGAAGATGCTACTAGTTGGGTAATAAAATCCCTGCAAGGAAACCCCCCCTCCCCAGTCAGAGAGCACCAAGGACCCCACCCTTGTCCTCCTCCTCCTCCTGCTCCCAAACCCCCCTCCCTTCTAGCCCTGATGATGTGACCCAGTTGGGTCATGAAACGTCTGCAAGAAAACCACCCAGCTCTGACAGCACCAAGGACCCCAACAGTCCTCCTCCATTTGTCCTCCACCAAGGTCTTCTCTGGTGTCCAGTTTTGGGGTTGGGCTGGGGTCTTCCAAGGGGGCTAGACAGAGATTTTTCCAGACCAGGAAGTCTCCCCCAGACGTTTGCTCTCTGCAGAAGAGGTCACGTCCATTCCGAAGGTGGTTCCCTTGCATGGGTTGGTGATGGCCATCAAAACCGACCAAGCCTTAGTTTTTCAATAACTTATATATAAATCTCAATATTTTATAGATTGTATTTTTTTTCTTCTCTTTTCTTATATTTCTTATTTTTATTTTATCTTATTTTACTTCTCATATATATATATATATATATATATATATATATATATATATATACATCTTTTCCTCTTTCTTTTCTCTTTTATTCTTTTTCTTTTTAAGCATTTTTCTTTTTTAATATTTATGCTTTTCTTTTTTACATATATATTATTGTTAATTATCTTATAAGTTTATGAAATGTATTTACGTATATTTATGGTTTATACTTTTTTAATTTCTTTTTAAGATTTTTAGAAATTTTAATTAAGCCTATATTCAGCTCTGGGAAGGTTGGGGGGATGGAGTGGGAGGGTTGGGGTGGTTGGGTAGGGTTGTTTTTTGTTTTTTATTTTTTCTTTTCCCTATTTGTAAAAATTTTAAAAATTTTCAATTAAAAAAAAAAAAAACCAACGATCAAGCCGGGCACAAAATTTTGATGAATCGGTTCCATTAGATACTTGGGAGATTATTTGGGTGAGGAATGTCAAATTTACACAAGCCCAAAACTTAAGGGAGAATTTTTATAAAATGTTTTATAGATGGCACCTTGATCCACAAAAAATGTCTCTTGCAGCCTAAATGTTGGAGATGTGGTCGTCTGGACGCCACTTATTATCATATTTGGTGGTCATGTAAAAATATAAAAGCTTTTTGGATTAAGATATGGTGGAATATTCAAAGAATTTTTAAAAGAAGGATAAAATTTACTCCACAATTGTTTTTGTTGGGTATTGTTTCCGACTGTGACAGTAAAGAAACTATATTAATGTTAAATTTAATCACAGCGGTTAGGTTGTTAGTAGGGCAATGTTGGAAGAAGAAATCTTTGCCTACTTTTCAAGAATGGTTTCTTAAAGTTTCTTATTTAGCGGAAATGGCAAAGATTTCGGAAATGGCAAAGATCAATCGCAAGAGAAGTATCTCTTGGTATGGAAAAAATGGATAAACTTTATACCATATAAGTACGATATAAATAAATATTATTTAGCTTTTGAATAATTTATATGTAAAGTTTAAGGTATTTTTTAAATATTTTTTTTCTTTTTTTCTTGTTTCTTTTTTTTCTTCTCTTTCTGTCTTTTTAAATATGGGTGTTAAAGTATTTTATAATTTGTTTAATTATTGTAATCAAATTTGTATATGTTTTATTTGTGTTAAAAAAATTTTTTTTTCTTTCTTTTTAAATTTTAATTAAGCCTGTATTCAGCTCTGGGAAGGATGGGGGAGGGTTGGGTTCGGTGGGGAGGGTTGGGGGAGGGGATTTTTTTTGTAAAATTTTAAAAATTTTCAATTAAAAAAAAACAAAAAAAAAAAAACGACCAAGCCTGGAGTTGTCTATGGAGGTTCTCTGCTCTCCAGGACAGGGCGTGGTTGCTTTCCCAAAAGGTAACTGGGCTTTCTCGGTGAGTTCTAGTGTGGGGAAAAATGCACGCCCGCAGCAAACTGCCGTGCTTTCCCCCCCACCACCACAAACCTCATAACCCTTTGATACCCTTTGTCCCAGTGAAGCAGCCAGAAATTTCCTCCCCTTTTGACTTAAGGCCTCACCTCCCTAAACAGATAATATGCTTAAGTTCCTTCCTATCTCTTCCTGTCTTTGTCAGTTCTTTCTCCTTTTGATCTACCTGCATTTGTTCTTACCTGGTCTTTGACCATGTTACTAGAAAATAGTTGCTTATAGGAAGGAATTTTCCAGTGAAGAAACTTTAGGTCAGCATCTCATGGTTAAACTTATGAATTGTAAAATGTCAGCATTTAATGGTAAAGCCTATGTATGTAACAAGTATAGAAGAAGCAATAAACTCAAGAGTTTGTCAAGCTGTGTCCTGCAGCTTCAAACCTCTGCTCAAGATATGCCTGCGTCTTTTTCTTAGCGTCTGACATTCTACTTCGGCCTTAGCTGTGAGAGCCATCTGGATTGACTTTGGGCCAATCACTGGGAAATGTTCTAGTCCTGCCTTAGCCATGAAAAACAGCTGGATAACTTTGAGCCAATGACAGGAGAGGGTGAATTCTAGTGCTACCTAAGGCATGAAAGCCGGCTGAGTAACTTTGGCCCAATCACCGGGAGACGGTGAGTTCTAATCCTGCCTTAGCAATGAAAAACAGCTGGATAACTTTGAGTCCATGACCAGCACATGGTGAATTCTAGTGCTACCTAAGGCATGAAAGCCGGCTGGGTGACCTGGGGCTGATCACCGGGAGACCGTGAATTCTAGTTCTGCCTTTGCCATTGAAAGCCAGCTGACTTTGGGCCAAGCACACCCTCTCAGCCCGACTCACTTCACTGCGTTCTTGTTGTCGTTGTCGTTGTGAGGATAATAGGAAGAGAAAGATGTGTCGGAGACCTTTGCCCGCCTTGAATTATTTGTGAAAATAACAAACAAACAAACAAGCTGGGAAGTAAACAGATTTATAGACCAACAGCCCTTCTGCACAGAGAGGTCTTTCTCCATTCTATATAGCCCCGGCTCACAAAACATCCCCAAAGTTACACACAAGCCTTTGTGTGAACCCACCGCAAGCAAGGAATCCAACCGGTGCCCAATTATCAGTCTCGGTCAGACCGCCGCGATACTCACTAGCGTAGGGAGAGTTGGCGGTGGAGCCGTTGAGAAAACTGGGGGAGCCTGGCACCCCAAGACCAGTTATGGTGGTCCCCGCGTAACCGTTCATGCTGGAGGTGATTGTGGTGTAGTTACTCTGCTGCGGGGTGGAGCTGGGCACGTAGCCCCGGGGCGAGACGCTGCTTGCGCTGCGCGGGTATCCTGCAAATCAGACCACAATTCCGCACCGTTCATTTAGGGACCGTTTCGAAGTTACGACGGCGCTGGGGAAAGTGACTTAGGACATCCCCCTGGTCACGGGACCGAAATTCGGACTCTGGGTAGTCATTTGTGACGGTCGTAGCATCCCGGGGTTACGTGACGCCCCCTTCTGCGACCTTCTGATAAGCAGTCAATGGGGAATCCAGATTCACTTAACAACCAAGTTATTAACAGCTGTGGCGGGAAAGGTCGTAAAATGGGGGGGAAAAAACCTCACTTGACTCATGTTTCACTTAGTAGCATCAATTTTGGGCTCGTGACTCTCTGACCCACCCTACGTCGGAGGGCGCTTAGGGATGGATCGACAAATGGAGCCTCCAGCTTTAGGAGCAGTCTACCCCTCCTTCCAAAGGCCAGATGAGGACGGTCAGCTGGGATGGATCCGACGACCGGTAGTTCTCGCCTCGTGCCCACAATTAAAGCCCCAAATTTAAGCCATTGCGTTTGTGAAGCGCCACGCCCACCTGATCGCCTCACTCAGTGACGGCAATCCTGGCTACCCTTGCGGAAGCCATCATGGCGGGGGGTGGGGAGGGGGATTGCAATGGCCGTAAGTTCGTACGTTCCTCCATTCAGCACTCTCGTAATTTCAAATGCTTGTGGAAGGAATTTATTTATTTATTTATGACATTTATATACCGCTTTAAGTGCAAGCACTCTCTAAGCGGTGTACACCAGTAAGCAATGTATATATATATATATATTTACATTGCCCCCAACCATCTGGGTCCTCATTTTACCTACCCCGGAAGGATGGAAGGCTGAGTCAACCTGGAGCTGGTGAGATTTGAACCGCTGACCTGCTGAACACAGTCAGCTAAAGTGGCCTGCAGTACTGCACTCTAACTGCTGCGCCACCTCGGAATGGCCGGTAAGTGAGGACTTCCTTGGCCTACCTTGTTCCGAGCCCTGAGTGGACTCGCTGATGTTGACGGCCAGCTGGCTCCCAAAGGAGTTGACGCCCATCATGCCCGCGTGACCATGGTTCCCGGACAGGGACGTCAGCTGGTTCGGGTTGCGTGGGACGCTGTACAAGGCTTCGGCGATGTCCGCGGCCCGCTTCAAGATAATGTCCTGGGTGGGGGCAAGAGGTCAACCCCGCGTCAAGGTTTCGCGGCTTGGATCCCTCCCTGCCCAAACCTTGTGTGCCTCGAAAGTGCTGGGAATGCAACCGGCTGGGGATGCTGGGTGCGGAAGTCCCAGCGTACCTGGGAAGGGTCTCGGGTCTCGGACGGAGGCCTTCAAAAGGGGATCGGAGAGTTTGAAGGACGGGAGATTTCCCAGGGCCCAGCAGCCAAAGACTGCCCAAAAGAGGGAAAGGGGCTGGACCGGGAAAGAGCCAGGTTCGAATCCTCCTTCAATATGGAGAATCCCTGGTGGAAGAAAATCCCTAGGGGGGGGATCCCTGGCGGTCAGCGTCGGCTGCTGACGGAAAAGCAGACATTAACTCTAATGATTCCATACTCTAAAAGGCATGGCTGGGACAGGATGGGGCAAGATCAGTTGGGACCCGCAAGATGTCAGGTTAGGAAAATGGAGGTGGTGAGTTCTAGTCTTGCCTTAGGCATGAAAGCCAGCTGGGTGACTTTGGGCCAAACACCAGGAGACGGTGAGTTCTAGTCCTGCCTTAGGAATGAAAGCCGACTGGGTGACTTTGGGCCAATCACCAGGAGACGGTGAGTTCTAATCCTGCCTTAGGAATGAAAGCCAACTGGGTGACTTTGGGCCAATCACCAGGGTCCACCTATTCTCCAAAGCCCCTGAAGGCAGGAGAAGAAGCAACGGATGGAAACCGATCAAGGAGAGAAGCAACCTGGAATTGAAAGAGAAACTTCCTAACAGTGAGGACAATTAACCAGTGGAACAGCTTGCCACCAGAAGTTGTAGGCGCTCCATCACTGGATGCTTTCAAGAAGAGATTAGACAGCCAGTTGTCTGGAATAATATAGGATGCCCTGCTTGAGCAGGGGGTTGGACTAGAAGACCTTTGCGAAGCCTTCCAGCCCTAGGATTCCTTATTCTAAATCCGGGATAGGCAACCTTGGCTCTTTTATGATTCATGGACTTCAACTCCCAGAATTCCTGAGCCAGCATGGCTGAGCTTGGAAACCTCTCCCTTTCCTCTCAGCATGGCTGGCTCAGGAATTCTGGGAGTTGAAGTCCACCAGTCATAAAGCGGCCTAGCCTAGGCCAGAGGTAGGCAACCTTGGCCCTTTTATGACTGGTGGACTTCAACTCCCAGAATTCCTGAGCCAGCATGGCTCAGCTTGGAAACTTCACCCTTTCCTCCCAGCATGGCTGGCTCAGGAATTCTGGGAGTTGAAGTCCACCAGTCATAAAAGAGCCAATGTGGCCTACCTCTGGCCTAGGGCCTAGGCCGCTTTATGACTCGTGGACTTCAGCTCCCAGAATTCCTGAGCCAGCCTGGCTCAGCTTGAAAACCTCTCCCTGTCCCCTCAGCATGGCTGGCTCAGGAATTCTGGGAATTGAAGTCCACCAGTCATAAAAGAGCCAAGGTGGCCTACCTCTGGCCTAGGCCTAGGCCGCTTTCTGACTCGTGGACTTCCTCCCAGAATTCCTGAGCCAGCATGGGGGAACTATGGCCCCCTCATGACTTGTGGACTTTAATTCCCAGAATTCCTGAGCCAGCATGAGGGAAACTTTGGCCCCCTCATGACATGTGGACTTCAACTCCCAGAATTCCTGAGCCAGCCTGGCTCAGCTTGGAAACCTCTCCCTTTCCCCTCAGCATGGCTGGCTCAGGAATTCTGGGAGTTGAAGTCCAGGAGTCATGAGGGGGCCATAGTTCCCTCATGTTGGCTCAGGAATTCTGGGAGTTGAAGTCCACCAGTCATAAAAGAGCCAAGGTTGCCTACAGCAACCTCCTCTTCCGAAACCCTGTTTCTGCATCAAACGGTGAGTTCACACTGTCAACCTTATCCGCTTCAAACCCAACCCTGCTTAGCATGTGGCGCAACGGGCCCATTCTAACTTCTGAAGCATGATGGGTGTTAACGTATAGCGAAGGCCCCGATGCTGACTTTCCCATCTTCTTGGTGGGCGGCTGAGAATTTGGCCCTCCCGGTCTGTTGCCGGTCACCCTTGAATGGGTGTGGAAGATTTACACCCTGGAAGGGAAGTGTGTGTGTGGAGGGACTTTGGCCCATAAAACCACACCTCCCACCTGCTTGATCTGACCTGACGCCTCCGCAGGACCGTAGCTAACATCCGGCCAGGTGTTGTGAGCCATGACTGAGCTGTGAAAACACTGGCTGAGTCCCTGGATGGGGGTGAGGAAGCAAGGAGCTGCTCTAAGCTGGGTTACGCAATCAGCCTGGAATTCCTGATGGGAAACAGATGTTGGGAGCCAGATATTTGCATGGACCTAGCCAGAAATCTCTCTCTCTCTCTCTCTCTCTCCCTCTCTCTCTCTCTCTCTCTCTCTCTCACACACACACACACAAATTGGCAGGAGTAGAACTCACTGTCTCCTGGTTCTGGCCTGGGGCCTTCACCACTATAGCAAAGTGGCTCTCTTTATATGACGGAGCTGCATGCCATACAGCAGGCAGATAGATAGATAGATAGATAGATAGATAGATAGATAGATAGATAGATAGATAGATAGATAGATAGATAGATAGACAGATAGACAGATAATGAATAGATAGATGGATAGATAGATAGATAGACAGACAGTCAGATAGATAAGATAGATGATGGATGGATAGATAGATAGATAGATAGATAGATAGATAGATAGATAGATAGATAGACAGATAGATAAGATAGCTAGACCAACAGACAGATAGATAAGAGATGATGGCTAGATAGATAGATAGATAGAGAGAGAGATAGAGAGATAAATGGATGGATGGATGGATAGATAGACAGACAGACAGACGGTATAGATAGATAGATAGATAGATAGATAGATAGATAGATAGATAGATAGATAGATAGATAGATAGATAGATAGATAGATAGTTAGATAGATAGATAATGGATGGATAGAGATAGATAGATAGATAGATAGATAGATAGATAGATAGATAGATAGATAGATAGATAGATACCGACAGATAGATACCGACAGATAGATAAGATAGATAATGGATGGATGGATAGATAGATAGATAGAGAAAGAGAGACAGAGAGAGAGATAAATGGATGGATAGAGATAGATAGATAGATAGATAGATAGATAGATAGATAGATAGATAGATAGATAGATAGATAGACAGATAGATATGGACGGACAGACAGATAGGAGACAGTATTCCCTGACTGATCAGAGGACCATGACTGACCACCAAGCATCATCAGTGCCTAGATGACCAGGCCCATCAATGACCACGGACAACCTGAAGGTTAAACCAAAGCTGGCCTCTCTCTGCTCTTCCCCAATGCCAGGGCGAGGGGGGTGAGACTTACTTGGTTGTTGTGGGGCATCCCATACAAGGCCTCCACCAGATCCGCCGCTCTCTTCAGCAGGACCTCCTAGGAGAAGAGAGACAGGACTATGATGAAGAACCCATCCCGTTACAGAAGAACGCTTTGGAAGACACAGGATTTTGAGGGGGAAACAACCCAAGATGGTTGAACAAACTCTAGCTGTGCTTGCAATCTAGCTCCCCATCAAGCTTAACCCAACTTAATTAATTTAATTTAATTAAAGCTGCATTGATCAGCTTAATCCCAACCTGGGGTTAAGGAGAAACGTCTGGAGAACAATTAACCAGTGGAACAGACGTTGCCTTCAGAGGGTGTTTCATCACTTTGAAGAAGAGACCGGACAGCCATTGAATAGCAGAATAGCAGAGGGCCTCCTGCTTCAGCAGGGGGTTGGACTACAAGACCTCTTAAGGTCCCTTCCTGCTCTATTCTTATTTGATCGATTGAGATCAGGCCCGTGAAGCTGTGAAGCAGGGAGATCCAACCTTAGCAACTTGGAAGACCCGTGGACAGGTCTTCAACGCCGCCAAAGTTGCCACACCCTCGCCGTAAAGTAGAATTCACGGAGCAGCTTAAAACAGTGGTGGCGAATCGTGGAGCGACCGAGCGCCCAAACTGCAACCCAAAACCCACTGAGGCATTGTCGGGTGCTGGGTGGGCGTGGCCCATGGGGTGGGTGTGGCCCATGGGGAGGGCGTGGCCCATGGGGAGGGCGTGGCGGCGGTGGTCACGGCAGACTGGGCGGGACTAAAAAGTTCAATCCATCAATTCCAACTTTGCGAGATCTTTTTTTTTCCCCCGCAAGAAATTGAAATTGACGGATTGATTGAACCTTTATTTTATTTTTTTGCACACGGCGGCGGAGGCCTAAAGCAAGAAGGTTTTATAAAACCCAGCTGAAGGCCCAGGACTGGGGCGACGGCGCACGTGCCCACAGAGAGGGCTCTGCGTGCCGCCTCTGGCACCCGTGCCATGGGTTCGCCACCGCTGCCCTAGACCAGTGATGGCGAACCTTTTAGAGACCGAGTGCCCAAGCTGCAACCCAAAACCCGCTTATGCATTGTCGGGTGCTGGGTGGACGTGGCCCATTGGGTGGGTGTGGCCCATTGGGTGGGCGTGGCTGCAGTGGTAACAAAAAAGTTCAATCAATCAATTCCCACTTTTTGAGATTTTTTTTTCCTACAAGAAGTTGAAATTGATTATTGAACATTCTTTTTTTGCACACAGCGGTGGAGGCCTAAAGCGAAAAGGTTTTATAAAACCCAGCTGAAGACCTAGAACTGGGGCGTCGGCACGCGTGCCCACGGAGAGGGCTCTGTGTGCCGCCTCTGGCACCCGTGCCACGGGTTCGCCATCACTGGCTTAAAAGAAAGTCAATGGCCCTTCACACCATCCAGCAGAGCCCCCTTCTTCCTCTCCCGCAGGCCTTCCAGATGCATTGTGGTCCTTCTCTGATCTTCCCAGAGATCCTGGCCGAAACATCTGGCAGGCGCCCAGGGCCGGAAGGGTGCTCTGCAAGGATCGGACAGCTGAGGAGAGCGTCCACCCCTGGAAGGCATGCAGCGCATTACGACCAGGCCAACGCTTTGTGCATTGCAACACAGGACTCACTCCCCCCCCCCCAACCCCCGGGAGTCTGCCTACTACTTTGGCTGCTCAGCAACTCCATCCGTGGAGATGGGATCCTCCCTTGGGACAGTCCTGTCCCCTGTCCAAAACCTTGCCCAGGGTCCTTCTAACCCAAGGAGAAGGTCTGCAGGCCAAGAATCAGGGTTTGGGGGGGTGGGGGGTGGGCGGTTGGGTGGATATTACGGTTTGTGAAACAGGGCAGCTCCTCAAAGCTCCAATTTTTCCGGGCTGGAGTTAGTCAATGTGGGAGAGAAATTGAAGGCATCCGGAGAAGGCTGGGCGGCATTGACCCAGCGGGCGGCCAACTCTTCTCCAATTTTGGGGATTGTTCTTGGATTGTTGTTGTTGTTGTTGTTGGGCGGTGTTGTTGCTTTTGGTTGGATCACAAAGCCATCGCTTTGCTGGGATGGGAACTAAACTGAAAAATCACTCTGGCTGTGCAAATTTTTTCTCCTCTTTCTTCTCCACCCCCCCCCATCCTCCTCCTCTTCTTCTTCTTCCTCTTTCCTCCTCCTCCCCTCCTCTTCTTCCTCCTCCTGCCCTCCTCCTCCTCCTCCTCTCCTCTTCTCCTCCTCCTCTCCTCCTCCTCCTCCTCTCCTCTTCTCCTCCTCCTCTCCTCCTCCTCTTCTTCTTCCTTTCCTCCTCCTCCCCTCCTCTTCTTCCTCCTCCTGCTCTCCTCCTCCTCTCCTCTTCTCCTCCTCCTCTCCTCCTCCTCCTCTTCTTCTTCTTCTTCCTCTTTCCTCCTCCTCCCCTCCTCTTCTTCCTCCTCCTGCCCTCCTCCTCCTCATCCTCTCCTCTTCTCCTCCTCCTCTCCTCCTCCTCCTCCTCCTCCTCTCCTCCTCTTCTTCTTCCTTTCCTCCTCCTCCCCTCCTCTTCTTCCTCCTCCTGCCCTCCTCCTCCTCCTCCTCTCCTCTTCTCCTCCTCCTCTCCTCCTCCTCTTCTTCTTCCTTTCCTCCTCCTCCCCTCCTCTTCTTCCTCCTCCTGCTCTCCTCCTCCTCTCCTCCTCCTCCTCTTCTTCTTCTTCTTCTTCTTCCTCTTTCCTCCTCCTCCCCTCCTCTTCTTCCTCCTCCTGCCCTCCTCCTCCTCATCCTCTCCTCTTCTCCTCCTCCTCTCCTCCTCCTCCTCCTCCTCCTCCTCTCCTCCTCCTCCTCTTCTTCTTCCTTTCCTCCTCCTCCCCTCCTCTTCTTCCTCCTCCTGCCCTCCTCCTCCTGCTCTCCTCCTCTCCTCCTCTTCTCTTCCTCTTTCCTCCTCCTCCCCTCTTCTTCTTCCTCCTCCCTCTCCTCCTCCTCCTCCTCTTCTTCTTCTTTCCTCCTCCTTCTTCTTCCTCCTCCTCCTCTCCTCTTCTCCTCCTCTTCTTCTTCTTCCTCTTTCCTCCTCCTCCCCTCCTCCTCCTCTTCTTCTTCTTCCTCTTTCCTCCTCCTCCTCTTCCTCTCTTCTCCTCCTCCTCTCCTCCTCCTCCTCCTCCTCTTCTTCTTCTTCTTCCTCCTCCTCCTCCTTCCTCCTCCCCTCCTCCTCCTCCTCTCCTCTTCTCCTCCTCCTCTCCTCCTCCTCCTCTTCTTCTTCTTCCTCTTTCCTCCTCCTCCTCCTCCTCTTCTTCCTCCTCCTGCCCTCCTCCTCCTCTTCCTCCTCTTCTTCTTCTTCCTCTTTCCTCCTCCTCCTCCTCCTCTTCTTCCTCCTCCTGCCCTCCTCCTCCTCTTCCTCTCTTCTCCTCCTCCTCCTCTCCTCCTCCTCCTCCTCCTCTTCTTCTTCTTCCTCCTCCTCCTCCTCTTTCCTCCTCCCCTCCTCCTCCTCCTCCCCTCCTCCTCCTCTTCCTCTTCCTCCTCCTGCCCTCCTCCTTCTCTTGTTCTTCTTCCTCTTGTTCTTCCTTTCCTCCTCCTCCTTCTCCCCCTCCTCCTTCTCCCCTCCCCCTCCTGCTCCTTCTCCTTCCCCTCCTCTTCTTCCTCCTTCTCTCCTTTTCATCCTTCTCCCCCTTTTCTTGTTCTTCCTCTTCCTCCTCCCCTCCCCTCCTCCTCTTCTTCCTTCCCTCTTCCTCCTCCTCCTCTTTTCCTGAACCCCTAAACAGCTGATCCCACCCGACCGGGGAGCCTAGGGTTGTGCCCTGCCCTGGGAAGGAGATTGGCAGTGGAGAAGTATGAAATACGGTGATGGACGGATGACAGTCCTTGCCTCGCAGTCACTGCTTTCGCAGCCGTTCAAAGTTTGGCCTGGAAAAAGGGCTCTCCCCATCAGTCTCTGCCCTGGCGTCACCTGACCAAAACTTGGGCCCTTGGCAACCAGTGCAGGCAGCCCTGGACTTACAACCGTCCGTTTGAGTCGTTAAGTGAATCTTGACGCTGCTGGTGGCGAGCCAGCCGGGAAGGTCACCAACGGCGATCGGAAGACCTCCAGGACACCACAACGTTTGTCAAAACGTGCCGGTGGCCAAGGCCCCAAATTCGGATCCGGCGAACCGCAGGGGTGCGACAAAAATGGCCATCAGTGCGAAAACCGGCCCCTTTTTTTCCAGCGCTGTCGTAACTTTCCACAGCCGCAAAACGAATCGTTATACGTCGAGGACTACCAAGGGTCCCTCTTTGGATCCGGTGACCCTGGGGAGGCCGCGCCAGTCGCAGCGTGCGAGGGCCAGTTGTGTGACACTTCTTTCCCCCCCCCCTTCCAAGGCTGGTCATGCCTTCAAGCGGTCGCTAAATGAATGGCCGTAAGTGGAGGACTCCCTGCAATCCCGCTGGGAGAGCAACGCCCTCCCTCACCCGAGGCGCAAGGCTTTCCTTCCTGAACTCGAACCCCCCCCCGCTCAACTTTTCCTTCTCCCGGCTTCCCGACAACCGAGAGGCCAACCGGGCTGGTCGGGCGCTGGGCCGTCCATCAGGACCTCAAGGCTATTGGATTGCTGTCAAGCTAAGTGCCAACAATCACCGGGCAGTTGCTCTCCCCCGATCGATACCGTAATGGAGCAGGGAGGGAGGGGGGGGGCCTGCCAGGCGGTTTTGCCACACTGAGCCCCCCCACACACACCCCCGCAGTGATTGGAGCAGGGAGGGAGGGGGGGCCTGCCAGTCGGTTTTGCCACACTGAGCCCCCCCCCACACCCCTCCGCAGGGATTGGAGCAGGGAGGGGGGGGGCCCTGCCAGCCATTTTTGCCACACTGAGCCCCCCCCTACACCCCCGCAGGGATTGGAGCAGGGAGGGAGGGGGGGCTCTGCCAGCTGGTTTTGCCACACTGAGCCCCCCCCCACACCCCCGTAGGGATTAGAGGAGGGAGGGGGGGCCCTGCCAGCCGGTTTTGCCACACTGAGCCCCCCCCACAGCCCCCGCAGTGAAGGTGGCGACACCAAGCAGCTGGCTAACGCTGGGCAGAGATGGCTGGGGAGGGGAGGGATTGGGGAGGGGGCTCCGGGGGGGGGAATTGGAAACA